CCACAGTCATAGCCTCCTAGTGAAAAGGCGAGCGAACAAACTGCTCGTAAGTTGACGACCCCTGAGGAACTACGAAAAGCATAATATAGGCCTATTTGCACTCGGGCGTAATCAGAAATTTGTACTTGTTGGTAATGGCCACAATGGCAGCAATAGTATATGGGGATGATAGTGGTGGTCCGGACTCTTCAGTGTTGAACCTAAAACGGGGCCTAAAGTCTGTATTGGATAACCGTCCGATTGAGGACCGGTAGCCTGATCATTACAAATGATGCGATCTTTCATTGGTTCTAAGAGGTAGCGACTTGTTCAGGAAATTGTTTTTTTTTGGGAAGCAACATCTGCGTACTACATATCTTTACGCTCAGCGTGTTTCGGCTGCGATATCAAGCCAACGAGACCGAAAAAACAAAAAGAGAGCCTGTATTTTTACCATACGAACCGGCACCCAACCTCAAGACCATTTGAGTTCCTTGGCAGGGTATCAGATCTGAAACTAAGTGAGGATGAATTGAAACTAGATTAAAGAACCATTGCAGCCTGACTCTGTGTCTTGAGTGCAACCGAGGTCTTCTGTCAAAGCATAACTGCTAGTACGCTGTGACAGTTTCAAAGTGTGCTATCGCATGAAATGCCATCCAATATTCAGAAATGTGCCTTCGAATTGGACAAATTACTTACGTATAGCTATAAAATTGACTATCATGTAGCCTTATCCCAAAATACTTCAGGCACGTCAGGGTGCCAGACTTTGAACAAGCTTCTTTCCTATCACCCGCAGAATGCACATTTTGTAAACAAAATGGCTACTTAAGTAGTATGCATTTTTTCTCATTGATTTTAATGTTCTTATAAATTAAAGTATATTTTCAAAGAATGCATGTACAACAGTGTTCTTTCTTTCACTTGTTTGGTAGAAAATTACGTCTTCTACTGTTTCTTTTTCCAAAAGTTTCTGATTGTGACTTTTTTAAGACCGTTAAATGTTTATTCATAATACAGCCTATCCATTGCTTTTTATTACTTTTGCCTACAAAGTATACAACATGATCCATATCCACAGCAACATCTTATGAGCGCTATGTGACGTATTTTTCCTAGTTTAGAGAAATGTGGGATTCTCCTTAGGCAAAATGCACACGGCATGCAGTTTGGAAACTTTGAATTTAAGTTTAAGGGCCTGTATGGATAAAAATTATTCGTCAAGTTAACGTTTTTTAAACCAAAAGATACTCTTTTTTCAAATATAACATCTTAAGTAGCCATTTTTTACGATATATGCGTTTTGCAGACGATATGGAAGAGGCTTGTTCAAAAGCTGGCATCCTGACGTGACTGACACATATTGAGACTAGTCTGTTTCATAATCAATATTTAAACCCTACTTACGGAGTTGGTTCGAATAAAAAATGCATTTTAGCATTTTGGGTAACATTTCATGAGATTGTTAAATGTGGGAAAACTAAGTGCTCGATCGAAATCACATTCTACTCCTACCCTTTCATCTGCTAACGAATTGTTTGAGAGCAAAGCTAACTTAAGTATCCGACGTAAAGGAAAGCCACCGTCCCAAAAGTGCTACATTAGGACGTGCAGATCGCCTATGTGCAGTCGAAGTGTAGTAAAGAACACGCTAAGAGGTAGTCACTGCAGTCTGCCTCGCAACACAAGGGAAGACTGCGTTATCCGGTCATATGACAAACTTCCAAACTCTAACAGTTAGTGCAATGTGATAAGTTCAGGCCCGTCCTATTTATTAAAATGGCAAATACACTGAATCCCCTGAAAGAGAGGAATTTCTGTACACCAGTGACTTAACCTAGACCGCCTGGCGGCTGGTAGTGAAATAAGCTGCGATAATTGGTTTAGGGCAAGCCCCGATCTAAGGCATGCCATCGGAAAGAGGAACAAGCGGGTGGGTAAAATTGTCAGTGCGCCGCTTCACTCCATTTCGCCTTCAATTATCCTAACTCGATCTTGCCAGCAGAAAATGAGGAAAGCGGGAGGAAACTTTCATTGATGTTGTACAATGGACTAAATCATAATAAAATCTTCGTTGCTCCCCAGGAAATTGTAGGCCTTGACCAGCATCGTGAGCAGGGTAGCGATGATAATAGCTGCGGTAGGAATGCTACGTTACATATATTCTTCCGGATGACCAGGTCAAGCCGATAAATGCAACAGGCTTCGTCAGCCAGACGCCACTTTGTGTCAGTGCTTGACTCGTTTCAAAGCTGGGTTGTGCGAAATTCCTTACGTTTCACGCGTACAGTAAAAATTACTGAACAAATGGGCTACAGGCTACTGTTGCTAATCAGTGTAAACCTAGGCAGGCTGTCTTTGGAGGTCGTATTTGCCTTTGACTTATAATAATAACCTACTTTTACATTTGCAGTAACCCGAATTTCCCCTTTTTTTCGTTAAATTCCGCCAAGATAAGGTCGCATTTTCTTTTTTTGTTAAATTCCGCCAATATAAGGTTGAATTTCATTCAATAGGCATCAGTTGCCTGAGAAACAGGAGTTCATGTTGATGGAGTTTATCGTTGATTCTATTTAGTACATTGGAACAAATATACATTAATTTAATTTAATTCTTTGATCACTTCCAAAACAATTAAACATATATACACACGGGCGGGGGAATAGATGTTTAGGCGGCCCTAAAAGACAGATTTGCGTAAACGTTTTCTGCTGGCTCACTTTGAATAGCGACTGGTCCTTGTATTTGCAATGACAGTAAAAAAGAAAGGGAAGCTGACAACCGACATTCCGGATAGAAGTCTTCTAACTTTTCTTCGGATGCTTCAATTTTACTTTACTGTACTTACGGAGAATCAGTGTCCTATTCTCAACGGAAGCGAACCTCTCGCCAACCGGAAGGTCTGAAAACGTTGGATACGGACAACCTGTACAGATAGACAGAGAGAGGGGGATACGGTTTTAGGGGTCAACAGCTGCACGTTGTAGGGGTTATAGGGAGAAACTCTTAAAAATAGATGCAAAATGCGTTTTAAGTTCCAGGAAAAAAATGCGGAAACTTTCTGGTTTGGTTTCTAGCGTTGAGAAGCACCTTCCGTCGAGAAGGGGTTTAATCTGCACTCAAGTTTTCTTATGGATGGTAAACACCCGTTAAATGTCCATTAGGCTAAGTATGGTCGCACCAAAGTCTATTCTGAATTACGGAGTGGGACGGAGCACACAACGTTTCAAGCAATCAGCTCCTGCCATAAGCTTACAGGAGAACCAGGTTGGCATTTAAGATGTTCACTTGCCCACCACTACCAGTCCCCGACTCATCAGGAAACCACAGCGTATTTTATATATGATGGGGTTTCAGGTCTACGTTGCTTGAAACGAAAGCGATTATCATACGCAAGTAAAGAGGCAGATATCTAGTTGGACCAACTGCTCCATCAGAGGCGACAACTGTAGAGTCAAAAGCCTCAGTAAACCGCCAAACAAGCTCCGTTGGACGAAACACGAAAAGATAACTGGATTCGGTCCCGTGAAAATTGCTTACTAAA